GAATATATCAATCAGTTTTTCTATTTCAAAAGCTCGAGAACCGTTGTGGGCAATTATTAAGAGCTTAGAATAGTTAAATCGTCACTGCTCAAGATATGTCAAAACTAGAACAACAAAGACTACTTAAATCGGTATATGCGCATACCCAATTACATTTTACGATATTGCATTGTATCCGTTAAACCGCTCCTGATTAATTTTTAAACGGATTGTCTCACCTTTATATTTAGTCAGGATGCTGTATAAATAGACAATCAGGTTTAAAACATATAGTTTGCTTGGTATAGATAAAATACATCTATGCGCCTTACTGGCCGGCAGTTGCGCGCTAATCCATGCTAGAACAATGTGCAATAGCTATTAAAAACAAGATAGAAACCAAGTAAATTGGTACGAATCCTCGTTTACTAGAGTTTGCAGGATACATTTATTCTCACTACAACTGTGAAAATCTTTTGCTTTTGGCAGAGGAGCTGAGAATAAAACCAATACTGTCCTTCGGTTAGTTGCCACGTCTTCTCTTTAACAATGTGAAACGCAACTCTAACTGTTTCACTGCAGAACATCCGATCATTGCGACGCACGAGTTGCTATTATCGTACACCGTGTGATCTCGCAAGCCTCCACCTTTGCCGGTACAACGAGATTGAGAACGATTTATTGCCATAATGCACTGTGGATGATTTTAAATGTGTATGCAGGTTGTCAAAAGGCTTCAAATCACGGTAGTTCAGCACGATTGTCAGGTTTCTAAATGGTAACAGCAACAGATTGATAAGGAGCAGAACAAAAGATATGTTCGGAGTCACATCAAAATCCTCCGAAACCTTTATTAATACAATATTTGGATTTTTCGTCAGTTCAGAGTTCTAAGTTCAAAGCAAGCATCAGAAGATGTTGATTCAACAATAGATTGTGAATTTTGAACGAGGTTCGCAGGGGAATCCCTAACAGGATGCACGGATGTGAAAGCATGAGTTGCTTTGGTTCATAAAGATTGGGGAATACAAATATTTAAATGATGGATTTCAGAGGCACTATGCACAAGAAGTGAATTCAGTCACGCTAACCCTTGATATCACTGACTGATGAAACGGGTTAAAATGCAAGGTGGGGATAACAGACAAACACACACACGGGAACAACCAGGTTAAATCAACTTAAATTTCTGGTACTCCTTTGAGGACTGCTGACACGAACCAGCCAATCAGACTACTTGTTTTGACAATATATATATGAACGTAGATGAC